AGCTTGGCTCGGATGGCGTTTCAGCGGCAGGCAGGGAGCGGTGTGCACCTTCAGGCAGGTGGACGTCACCAGGCCGGGCTGTGAGGCTCAGGGCTTGCCGGGTGAAGAAGGGTGTGCGGAGGGAGAGCGGGCGGGAAGGGGCTGATGACGGGGCGCAGAGGGGTGCGGACTCAGGCTGAGCCTGGGCCACGAGGGGAACCCCCAGTGCATTCTGTGGGAGAAATGCAGGAAGGCCGGTGGGCCCGCAGGACCCCAGAAGGATGGACAGGGTGGGTGCAGGCGGAGAGGGAGAGCTGTCGACGGCCAGGCCCTGGAGCAGGGGGAGCTGAGGGCCCCCCAAAGACGTGTGAGAGATCGCAGAGCCCGAGTCGGAGGGAGAGACATGCAAAGCCTGGCCTTCGCATGGCCTTTCTCCTTGTCCTCGCCCTCCTGCCTCTTTCCCGGGGGCCTCTCCACCCACCCTCTCTTGTTCTTTCCCCGTCGTGACACCCCGCTTCTTTCTTCCCTGTTCCCTGGCCCATCACAGCCTTCTCTGTCTTCCGTTCTGCTTGTCCACAGACACCACCCCAAAAGTTAGGGGCTTTTAACAGTCGTTTATTATTGTTACGCCTCAGAAGCAGGCGGTCTGCGGGGACGGCTCCTCTGGGCTCCCCCAGGGCTGGGCCTGGGGGGCGCGTGCTCGCGTCCGCCTCTGTGCGGCCTCTGCATAGCCCGCTTCTCACGCCGCAGGGCCCTTGTGGGAAGAGCCACTAGGTCACTGCTCCCGGACCCCAGGTTCAGACCTGCCATCAAGTTGCTTCTGCCATGTCTTATTGGTTAAAGAAGTCACAGGCCAGATTCCAGGAGAGGGGACAGACCCTGTGTCTCAGTGGGGCCACGACTCGGGACGTGGGTGGGACTGTGTGCGGTGCCTCTACAAGTGCTATGAGGACACAGTCCTGTTCCCTCCGCTTGGCCCCTGCCTCTCCCTCCCCTCCCTGGAGTGCCTTCGTTCTCCATGGAATGGGGGCGGGATGGGGCTTGGCCTAGAGCAACACTTCCCAAAGGGAAGCCCAGATCATGGGATGGAAATAGATGTTGTAGGTAAAAGGGGGTTTCATGGCAAAACCAATGTGGATCCAACCACGCTGAGCAGACAGGTGTCTGTGCTGCCCGGGGGGTGGGGGTAACCTGGTATAAATGCCCAAGCACACTGGACTCTCGCACACACAGCACTTGCAGAGCCTGGAGCAGGGCAGGCCTGGGCACGCTCTGTGGCATTGTGTGTGGTCCCAGGGGTCCAGCCCCAGCCCACAGCCCCGCTGGCCCCTCCCGGCTTTCCA